GAGAGGTGAAGCTGAACACCCAGACGTGTCCCAAGCAGCCACGTTCTTGTCTTGAATTGTGGAGCCTGCATCCGAAGTCTCCCCTTCTAAGGGATGGTCAGTCTCCTGTGTTTTTCCTAAACATCCATTCAGTCATGCGGCTGCCAAGTGTCACGGCCTTGGCCTTCTCCCACCCCGCGTCATCTCCGGCTACTCCACACGGAGCGTATTCGGGGTTGAAGCTCCATCCGTCCGGGCCGTCTCCAGCTCTGTGTGCGCACGTCACCAATCCTTGCGGCCAGATTCATGCTGTTGTAAACGGTATTTCCACATTTCTGTGCTTCTGATTAAGAAGTTATTTGGTTGCATTCATTTCATGACTCTGGTTTTGGAGGAAGAAGTATCTGTTGTGTCTTTCACAATGTTTACAAGCCAACCGCCATCGTCTGATACAAGCAAATGCAAAATCAAGTTACCTGCGTGAGGATTCTGGTTAAGGACTGAAGTTAAAACGCATTCATGTCTTGCAGTGGTATCTGGATGAGACAGGGATGAGGTTTTCTGCCGTGAGAGGGTAGCATCGCCCGCTGTGAAGGCTGGTTCGGCTGTTGGAGTGAAATGGCTGGTGCTGGGGCTGCGCCCCGTCATGGCTGGCGCACGCGCACATGCCCGGCACTGCAGGCGCCATCGTGAGCTCGCACTATGCGGCTCTGACTGCCGCCACGTGCTGTTAGGTGTGTTATCATCCCACAATCCTGGTAGGGGTTTCCCAGGCAAGCGGGAAGAAGGAGGGAGCGAAGGGGCCGTGTCAGGCACGCGAGGGGCAGCGGCATAGTCGGGCCGCTCTCCGTGGCGCTCTGCAGAGCGGGCTCTGTCCCCCGTCGTCCAGCGCGAGTCCCAGGGGAGACCACGTGCAGAGGGAGCCAAGCTTTTGGGAGGAGATGCTCAGGAAAAGCTAAAGTTGTAAGTTTGAAAATGCAGAAGGGCCAACAGTGGCCTTTGGGCATCTGAATTGGGTTTTCAGCAAATGTTGTGTTTTTTATTTCTTTACTCTTTCATTAATAAGTTAAAGAAACGAGACCAGCCCCGAAAACATAAAAAGCGATTCCTGGACTTCATGCTCACATCGCACAGTTGTGCTACTTAATTCGCTAACGGAAAGGACTGTTAATAGCATTAAGTTTCATTAACGGCATTTTTGGCAAGGTATCAGGGATGATAAACTAATACCCCAGACAGGACTTCATTTTTGTAAGAATGCTTTATCTTTGAAGATGAAGCTTTTAAAAAGCGCTTCGATTTCCGAATCCTTAAGAGGAAGAATACGCTGTTTGGTGTTTAAATGGGAACAGAACAGGGTTGTTGGCTGTCCGTGTGTATCGGTTTTGTGATTTTATCCTTCCGTCAGTTCTGAAAGAGAAATATTTATGTTTTCTCTTCCGAAACGCAGTCGGTGGTGCTGGCAGGCGTGGTGCGGTGCTCACGACTCGCGCATTGGTGCGTGCGTTCGTTCGCTCGGCACACCTGGGGGCGGGTGTGGGCCCTGCACAGGCGACAGGAAGAGGCAGGCCCGCTCCAGAGGACGGGACGGCAGCGGGAGCCTCCCAGGAACGTCTCTCAGACACAAACCGTCGCCAGCAGGAGCGGAGGGAGCATTTCACATGCCGCGTGCTGGTCCCTTCGTGAAACACCTGGCCCGGCCATGTCTGCCCCGTGTCTGACAGGTCAGTGCAGACAGCGGAGAACGGCCTGACGTCACCGTGCGGTCGGCACCTGTGCTTCCAGAGACTTCTGAGTTTGTGTGACTTGGGCGCAAGCTCTGGGTTTTGCCTTGGTTGGTCAGTGTGGGGCGGCCTTTATTTTAAAAAGTTAAGCGTATCATTTAAAAAGCTCATTTTAGGAGTAACAAATTTGGGACTGTGTGAAGACCTAGCATCTTTCTGGAGGATTCTGTTCCTGGGTTATGGAGCCTTGGAATTTTAGAACTTCAGCTTCTCGCGGACTTGCCAGGCCCCGGCCCTCTCTCGTCAGAGGGAGCAAATTGTCATCAAAAATGACAGGAGGCGTTCCCGCCTCAGCGCCCGCTTACACGTGGCACGGTCCAGACGTGACGGGTGGCACAGCTCCACCAGGCCACTTGCCAACACGGCCACGGACTCGTGGGGCCTGGGCTCCTCAAGCGGCTCCAGCGCCACCTGAGCCTGGTGGGCCGCGTGGCCACCCCACCTTTCCAGATGCCCCGGCCAGCCCGGAGCCCGCGCCCTGACGTGTGTACGGCGGCTGCACCGCCTGCCCCACAGTGGCTGCCGCTCCCACCCGTCTCATCCCCAGAGGGGCTGGATTTGAAGTCACCCAGCATGTCCTTTGATGTGAGACCTGCGCAAACTGCGCCCGGCGTGGCCGACACTCTCACTGCCAAAACGGACACCACTTACTGGTGTGAATTTCTTCACAGTGGCTCAGGGCGACACCGCATAAGGCACATCTTGGGGTCCACCCCCTGCGCAGGTGTCCCGCCACCCCTGGGGCCTCCCAGCGCCGCGCTCAGGAACGCTGCGGCGGCCAGCGGGGTGAGGAGCTCAACTCTCAGGTGGTTCTTGGTGTTCTTCACGGGAGCTGCCGGAGCTCAGGGAGGGGATGGCCCAACTACCAGACACCACAGCGGGTTTTCACGACGTCCCTCGACCGAAGACCACGCCACATACAAGAAATTAGCAGATTGTGAGCGAGGCTCAGACGTCAGATTCGATTTTTTGGAAAAGGTTTAAATTAGTAACATCTTTAAACCGTGTTTAGATATTTAGGAACAACTGCATTGATCCAGCTCCACTGGATGGAAATAACGTATTGGAAAATGAAGTGCGTGTGTGTCGTGTGTTTGCATGTGTCTCTGTATGTGCCTGCGTGTCTCTCCGCGAGGCGGTGAGGGGAGCGCTGAGCGTATGGGCTCGGTTCCTCGGTCGTTGGAAGAGGCCCGAGTCTGGAAGCTCCACGTCAGACGTGGCTTGCGTTTCCTCGGGTTACGTGGGGCTCTGGGTTCGGACTGGTCTGTCGGAGCCTGGGCACAGCGGGAGCGAGCAGGCGTGAACGCACAAGCCCGGACACACGGCGTCGTGCTGGTCTCTGCTTCTGCGCGGCTGAGACTTGGAGGCCCTCACGCTGTTGTCCTCCCCGCCCTGTCGTGGGGTGCAGCACAGAGCAGCGTCACCGCTGCCTTCTTGGGGGGCGGCCTCAGGGGCCGCCTGTCGCGTGGGCAGGTGACAGCCGGGGGGTGTGGATGGGGGGAGAGCAACGTGCGTGGGGCTCTGTCTTTTCTGGCAGAAGCGGGCTCTGGACACCTGCGGCGCTCAACGTGCAAATCCCATAAAAGAAAGCTCCGAGTGGAGCCGCAAGTCCTGGGAGGCCCAGCGGACACCCACGCTGCCGCCTGTCCTGACTCTAGCGGGAGGACGGAGGGCGGTGGCGGGGCCTCTTCCGCCACGGTTAGCGCCTGTGCGTGCTCACGGGAGGAGGGTGACTGGGCGAGCCACGCTAGGTGAGTGCATCGTTTTGCTGCAAAGCGGATGCGCACGCTCTGATCCCGTGGGCTCGCTAAGGGCCAGCGTGGTGTCCGTCACAGACAGACCTGAGCGCCGGCCCGCTCACGCGCTCGCTCGCTCGCTGGCTGAGTGCGTGGTAACCACAGCGGCACTGCGGTGAACCACCTTGCGGTTGCGGCGTGAGGGCCGGCGCCCTGGCGCCCAGCGCCCGACGACCGCAATCGTGGCGACGATGACGAGGAGATGCCGCAGCTGCTCTGCTCCAGAGCCCGTGGGCAGCACCTCCCCTCGGGGCCACGGGGGCCCTGGGCGTCACCTCACTTCCCAGGAAGCCTCCGTGGCGCGAGGGTGCGGGGCTGGCTCCTCCCGGGGGAAGCCCTGGCCGCCAAGCCGAGCAGCCTTATCGCTTCCTCCCCGCCCAGGCGGGACTTCCCAGTTTGTTTCCAGAAGCCAGTGGCCACTTCCCCCCCCTTCCTCCTGGTCTGTAGTTGTTTGTTTGAACTTGAGACTTCCTGAGCCTGGAAGGTGTTTCTGGCTTGCCCCACGGAGCGGCTCCGTGACATGCGGCACTGCGGCCCCCTCAGGCCCCGCCCCCAAGGAAGGAAACGCACACAGGGACACAGGCGCGGCTGGCCCCGCTCTGCCCAGTCTCTCTCCGGCACACGGCGTTTCTGCGGCTCTGCGCGGCGGGCACGGGAGGCCAGGCCCGGGGCAGGACGGCCGGAGGACGTCACGGGGTGGCCGAATCCTCCTGGTTCCTTCTTGGGACTTGGTGAAGCCGGGGTCACCGGGACTTGAGCGCCTGTTTCTGGGGACGGCGCAGGCCCGCCTGGCTTTCGGCCGTCCGGGCAGAGACCTGACGGCCGGGGAGCTGCGTGGCTGCGGCATCAGGGGTCGAACGCGGCCCCGAAGACCCTGAGCCGCCTCTGCCTCGCAGCATCCCCGTGACAGGCACCACGATGGCCGAGAAGGGGGCCTCGCGGGGGACCCTGCGTCGGCTCTGGTCGCTGCCCCGGAGGCGCCGGGGGACCACGGGCTGCTCGAAGCCAGGTGAGGCGGACGGGATGGTGCGTCCGTGGGGGCCTGGGGACCGGCGCGGGGCGTCCCTCAGCGGCGGCCACCTCCCGGTAGTGTTTCCTTCACTCTCCGACCAGCAAAAAGGAGGGGCCCCTCTGGCGGGGCCGTGGGCAGTGGAGGGTGCTCTGCGCTGAGAGGGGCATTTTCGGGGGGTACATGGGGCGGAGCCATCACCGGTCCTGGCCGAGCCCGAGCCGACCGCGACCCCTGCTCGGGCAGCCGCCACAGCTCCCTTGTGGCACCGCACCCCTGCTCAGCCGACGGCACGATTTGAATTCTCACGCGTCTCAGTCGCGCTTTCACAGATGAACTTCCAGAGCAGGGTGGGCGCGGGGGACGCGTCGGAGAGGGGGGCGCTGCGGCTGGTTTCTGTTCCTCGCCCGCCCGGGGACACGGACACGGGGTCTGCCGTGGAACTGGAGGAGTGGCTGCCGTGGCCGCCGGCACACGGTGGCACCTGTGCGGGGCCCGGGCAGACGCCCCGATGTCTGCCGCGTGCACGGCGGCCCCGCCCTCCTGGGCGCTGGCTCCTGGTGGGCTCGGGCGTCTCCAGACCCCCGCCCTCCGCCCGGCGGGGAGGTCGAGCTCCGGTCCCGTCCCGTCTGCCTGGAAGAAGGAGAGGGAAGAGTCGGGGCAGCAAACCCTGGATCGAGGGGCAGGGGGCTCGGGAGGCGCCGCCCAGCACGGCGCGGTGGGCGCAGCGGCAGGAGAGCCCCCTGTGACGCCGTTCCTCCCGTCTCCCCCGCGGGCCTGGACAGTCTGCAACACCGAGAGCTGGACTGTGCTCAGCCGAGCCTGAGCTGTGTGGCCTCCTGACCAGTCCCCTGACATCTGCCCCGCGCAGCGTGAGGGAGGCGACGCCGCGTGTGACGCCCACACCCGCCTGGCACACGCCAGGGCTGACCAGTTCCTGCCCCTCCCCCACAAGGCTGCACCGTGGGGCCTGAACACGGTGCAGGGAGGGCTGCGAGGTGGGGACCCCGCGGTGTCCCCTCAATGTGCAGTGGGGACCCCCAGCATCTCCTCGTGTGAAATGGGAAACCCCCCCGGCATCTCCTCAGTGTGAAACGGGGACCCCCCCCAGGCATCTCCTCAGTGAGAAACGGGGACCCCCCCAGACATCTCCTCCGTGAGAAACAGGGACCCCCAGCATCTCCTCAGTGTGAAGCGGGGACCCCCCCGCATCTCCTCAGTGTGAAACGGGGACCCCCGGCATCTCCTCAGTGAGAAACGGGGAACCCCCCAGACAACTCCTCCGTGAGAAACAGGGACCCCCAGCATCTCCTTAATGAGAAACGGGGACCCCCCCGCATCTCCTCAGTGAGAAACGGGGACCCCCCGGCATCTCCTCAGCGAGAAACGGGGACCCCCCGCATCTCCTCAGCGAGAAACGGGGACCCCCCTGCATCTCCTCAGCGAGAAACGGGGACCCCCCTGCATCTGCTCAGCGAGAAACGGGGACCCCCCGCATTTCCTCAGCGAGAAATGGGGACCCCCGGCATCTCCTCAGCGAGAAACGGGGACCGAGACGCCCTCCTCCCCCGAGTGCTCTGGGCCCGAGGGGCCGAGGGAAGCGAATGTCTTGGAAAGGGGTCTCAGCCCGCTGAGTGCGGGGACGACCCCGTGCGCCTGGCTGCGGGAGGGGTGGTCACCATGCCCCGGTGGGCGGGGGCAGAGGGCGGGCGGCTGTGGGTTCTTCCACGGTGCTGGCCGTGAAGGTGGTTTGGAGGGTGGGCGCTGGGTCGGGGAGGCTGTTTTGTTATGGGGCCTGAACGTGCAGATTGGAGGAAGCCATGGGGGCGTGGGGTGGAGGAGGGGCCGGGCTGGGGGCTCCATGGGGCACAGCAGGGAGGGTCTCCCCAAGGCCGCCTGTCGGGGAGGTGGGCGGCGAGAGCTGGGCGTGAGGAAGGGGCAGAGGGAGGCCCAGTGGTCCCCTGTGGAGGAGGGCGTGGGGCCCGGGGAGGCAGCTGAGCCTGTTGCAGGTCTAGTGGCCTCTCCTCGTCTCTGGGTTCCGAGGGGGCGCCGTGTGAGGCCCTGTGCCCTGGGTGAGCGGGCGTCCTCCCGCCTCTGGGCCGGGCACCGCCCCGCGGGGTGCAGTCGACGGGCAGGCTCCCCTGCAAACCCAGCTCCTCACCCCGGCAGCCTCCTGGCCTTGACCTCCCTCCCGCCGGCTCTGTCCTTGCCACGGAGCATCCCAGCGAGGCTGGTCAGGCAGCATCCGTGTCTGCGGCCAGACCCCGCCTGGCGCCGCAGCTGCTCTCTGCGGGTTGGAGAAGGCACCTGCGGGTTGGGAGACGGTCAGTCAGACTTCCCAGCGCAGGTGAAGGAGGAGCCTCCTCTCTGTCAGAGAAGAGGGCAGAGAGATGATAGGGGCAGAAAATATAGTTGGGAGATGGTGATTTTCTGATACCAGAAATAGATGTTATCAATTCATTAAGTGGAAGTTGGGGGTACGCTCCTGACTGCCCACCTCTGCCCTGCCCCGTGGCGCCACCTGTGAGGGGCGCTAGATGCCACGGGGCGGGGGCTCCACCGTGTTCCGTTCTGCTCTGGGGCATTTGGGACTGAGTTTCAGTTTTACGTAGAGTTTGGAAATCTCCTTTCAGAAGTGTGTTTGAGGTTGGCACGGTTTTAAACAGAACGAGAATTAATTTTTAAAAGCAGATAAATTCATTCGAGTCCTGGGGGGTGAGTGATCACTGCAGAACTTCCCTTTGAGCTTCCTGGTAGCTAATGCAAAAAGGAAAAATGTGTGGGCATAAGATCATGTGCAAAGAGAAGACTTTCTGCTGGAAAGAATTCTGGGGGAAACCGCCCCTTAGCTGTTTACTCAGGAACATCAGAACACGTGACAGATGATGTCTTGGAATTTTTTCTTTCTTTTGAAAATCAATGCCCCTTAGATGGATGCTTCTTACCGACCACCTGGAAACCTCGAAAACACAGCGCTGAGTTTCAGTGAGACCCTTCTGGAAGCAGCGCTCGGGTTTGCTGCCGTGCTGGGGCTGGGACTGACTCTCTCGAGCAGACGCGTTGCCGTCTGTGCCTGGCTGGACTGTGTCAGCAGCGCCGGAGGTGGCACGCTGGGCACGCAGGCCGCAGGGCGACGTTCCACACCGACCGCGGGGAAGCGGCCTCTGTCCTCCCAGGCCAGGGCCACCGTGTCTGTCCCGAGGCCAGAGGTGAGAGGTCACCGGGAAAAGCCCCACGTTTTCCTTTAAGTAGCTTTACTTGTGAGTGAGCATTTTGGAAAAGGTACCATTGAAACGTGGCCATTGATTAATTGGGTCTGGCCCACGAGGGCTTTGATGTTGGCGAATCTGGTGTACGTCTTTCCAGAAATTACAGAAAGCAGGACGGGAGCATTCGCCTTCACTGCAGCACTCTCTTCAGCTCCTAGAGCAGCCCAGGCCAGGGCCTGGTGCGTGGCCACGCCCGGGCGGTCCTGCCCCAGCCTCCCAGGCCGTCCCTCTCTGAAGTGCCTTTGTTCCCGGGAGAAACCCTCGCATGGGGATATTTTCTTACGTTCTTTGGTCACCTTTGTTTGTAAGAAGAGGTTCCATGGTCTGCAGAAATCTGGTGATTATTATTATTATTATTTCGATTTCTGGAAACTTGGTTGAAATCGTTATTTCTGGCTTCCTCCCACCGGCTCCTGTTGCCCCAGGCCGCTCGGGTGGCTCTGCTCTGCCAGAGGGGCACACGGGGCCAGGGGGGCTTTGCGGCCCCCACCCCAGTGCCAGCTCTCTGTGGGGTCTTTGTGGGGTCTCTGTGGCTTCTCTGTGGAGTATCTGTAGGGTCCTGGGCCCTGTGAGGCCTGGGTCTCTGAGGGTCTCTGTGGGGTTGCCATGGGGTCTCTGTGGGGTTGGGGTCACCGTGGGATCGCCATGGGGTCTCTGTGGGGTTGGGGTCACTGTGGGGTCGCTATGGGGTCTCTGTGGGGTTGGGGTCACCGTGGGGTCGCCATGGGGTCTCTGTGGGGTCGTCATGGGGTCTCTGTGGGGTTGGGGTCTCTGTGGGATCGCCATGGGGTCTCTGTGGGGTTGGGGTCACCGTGGGGTCGCCATGGGGTCTCTGTGGGGTTGGGGTCACTGTGGGGTCGCTGTGGGTCTCTGAGGGTCGGTGTCCCTGAGGAACATGGGTGGCAGTGCTCACCTACGCACGGCTCCCCCACCCCCAGGCCGGTGCGACTCGGGACATGGCCACCCAGTGCCCGTGGGGCGCGAGCTGCCGGTCACCAGGCTTGGAGTCCAGCGGGTGACGGGAACCTCACCACCACTGACTGGTGGGAGGGCACAGACACGTCCCTGCCTCGCCTGCTCGGCGCAGAGTGAGGTGACCCTCCGGGCTGTCCACCCATGGAAGCCACTGTCTGATGTGCCGTGGGAGGGGCAGGCAGGCGCGTGGGTGTCTGTCCTGCTTCCCCCGCCAGGCTGGGTCCAGGCCTGAGATCAGGACGTGGGCCCTTTGTCTCTGCTCTGCTCACCTCCTTCAGAGGGAGAAAGAGAGAAGCAAAGAAAGGAGAAAGACTGCCTCCACCTCTGTGTGTCCCCACGTTGCGGTGCGTCAGGGCTCTGGGACTTCGGGGAAGGAGCCGGACGTCACGCTGCTCCCGTGGGACCGTCTGACTCCTCCGACAATATGCCTTTCCCCGGCAGAGTGGAAAACCAGGTGCTGTGATCTTCCTGTTGCCTGTTCAGAAACAAAGGGAGGTCACGCCCCCAGGGGTGTCCCTGGTGCCTCGAATGGGGCAGGGAACAGCTCAGGCCGTTCCTTTCCGCCCGGTACATCCGCCTGGAGTCCTGTGTAAACAGCAGGGTGGGGTGACATGTGAGCCTGTGTGGTTATGGGGGAGGGAGGAGGGAAGAAAGTCAGCTGGTCCCCGGGCAGATCCAGGGGACAAAGGTCAGCGCAGAAAGCTGCTGCAACCCGAGGGGGCATGGTGAGCCGGGGCAGAGCGCACCTCCCCTGGG